TGTCAGGTGTTCGCTAGAACCCCCACAAGCCCACATCCAACTCCATCACTACTTGGAACCATCTGGGAGCTGGCCTGGGATTCCCCTCACCATGCGTGTGTGGCGCAGTTCTTTATCTAAGCCAGCCCGGAAGTGGTGGACCAAAAGGCACTCCGGCCAGGAGTGAAGCCTCCCGTTGGAATTCACATACATATTCCCTTGCCAGCTTGACTTGTTGCCGTAACTCCAGCACCTCCGCCTCTGCTCATTGCACCCGAGAGGGATCTTCAAACCCTTTTTAGGGCATCCAGAAACAGGCCGATATCCGCCAGCTCCCGGGCATGGTCGCTATATAAATCTTCAGCCCAGGCCGCTGCCTCCCCCTGTAAGCTTGCTGTCACAGCCACCACCATCGCCCAATTGGATGGGTACAGAGCCATGAAGCGGTCCAGATGGCTAAAGACACGGCTCATGAAAATAGCCAGGCAGCCTGGGTCACCATCAAATGATACCGTGATAGGAGGTGGGTTCCACAGCACTGCCTGAGGCCAAGGGGCTATTGCTTGTGCTCCATACTGAGCGCCATCCGGGGCTACAGAGTGATGGCCATCGGGTCCTGTTCCCCATTGCCCTGAAGAATCTGGCAACCTCCCCCCCCCGTCTGGAGGGAACTACAACCGGGGCCCCAACCTGTCGGCCCTCCCAGTGGTACTGAGACTGCTTAGTCGAATCATGTCCTACTGGAGGGCCCATCAGGGAAGGATGGCTTCTTGGTGTCAGTCTAAGCTTTGGGCTAGCCAGGTGGAACCTAGAAGACTCAGATGGCAACTCCAGCCCTGAAGCAACTCGGGGCCATGATGGTGGCAGTGCAAGGTAGCCCGTTTCCCCGAACTGGTCCCTGAGAATGTCCAAAATATATTGTCCTGGAGCGGTTAAATAGCTCCATTCCTTGTCCTCGTCTCCTGTCACTTGTCTCTCTTGCCAACCACTCAGGGTGGGCCCTGCACCCGCCACTTGCTGTCTGCCTCCCTCAGGGTGGTGCAAAGCAGGGTTTAGCCACCACTCCCCAGACAAAGTTGTAGATCCCGGTTGCTGGGCCCCAGTTCCTGCTTCCACGGGCTGCTGTGCCTTTTCCTTTGGGCACACCACTGGCTGGGCCTTCCTTGCCTCCACCACAGCTGGGGCCTCCAACTGACCTGTTGGTTCCAGTGGCTCTTCCACTGGTGCAGCTCCTTGCTTCCCCTCCTCCATTCCTTCTCACTATCCGGAACCAAGGATGGCCTAATACAATTGATGAAGATTAGGTTTTGAGTGCTAACTTACTGTTAAGCCATCCTGCTTGAGCTCCAATGAAAGCCAAAAACCAGGAACATTAAACAACCAACAGCTTTATTTGCTATATGGAAACAAAGTTAGCACTGGGAGTGGCTTGCTCCCAGTGCCTTATATACAACAAGCATACCAGACCCCACCCTTACCTGGCCCACACCAGACCCCACCCACACCCACACCAGACCCCACCCTTACCTGGCCCAGCCCTGACTCAACAAGCCATGATTAGGGTGGTGTTATAAGGAAGCGCCCGTCGAGTGCCTAGCCCCTCCCCTGCCTACCACCGTACCCTTGTGCCTCCTCCCCCTCTGCCGATATGCCCTTGGCCATGCAAGACCGTGTGCCAGTAGCTCAGGTAATAACAGTCCTTTCCCCTTGCCGCCTGGCCTTGCAGTCCACCGAAATGCTGTTGACCCGGCAAGGCTAGGATGCCCACACTCCAAGAGGAGCAAAGCCCAAAGAGCAGCAAATGGAGCTGGGCATCCCCTGACGACATCAGCGGCGCCTCCTGATGACATCAGCACTACAGGGCGGCAGTTGACCACAATGGCGCTGGGAGATGTAGGGCGGCAGCACGGACAATGGGGCTTCACCGGAGCAGTAAGCAGGCAGTGACTTCACCTGTCCGGTTGGCGAGGCCTCGCAGGGTCTGACAGTGGATTTGTGTCCTGGGTAGCTGAAGTTTCTGGGTGGGAATAGGGTCAGAAGTGATCTTACCCGCTGCACATGCCCTGCGAAGTAAAGATGGAAAAAGCGAAGCATTAAAGAGCTCTGCCGTGGGATGAGAATCTTGTGGAGACTCCTCACAATCTGACCACTGGTCTGTACTGCAATCATAATCAGAGGAGCTGGAAGAGTCAGATCCTGGTGAATGGTGGGGCAAGATAGCACTAGGGTGGTCGAGCAGTGTGGGTTGTGTTGAGACGGTTGGCACTGATGAAGATCTTGGCAGGGATGAAGGTTGTTGATGACCCGATGAGGCCATCATTTTAAGGACTGCCTGTGATATCATGGCCTGCAGCTGATCAGCAAAGGAGGGATCCTGTGAAGAACTGCAGTCGGGGTGAAGGTCACTGTAGGTTCTGTAGAGGGATCCAGTGGCTCGAGTCCCTCCCCAAAGAGGGGTGAGCCTCCCTGACCAAAGGTCTGTACTGAGACCTGCTGAAGCTCTCGCTCTGGAGACCATGCCCGTGTTGAAGTAAGTGATCGCGAGTCCATTGCGGGAGCTGTAAGTGGGGGAAGTGGTGACTTGCGCCCTTCCCCACTGACAATCGTTGAGCCTGAGAGAATTGCTTCTCCAGAGCCCGTTGTGAGCGATCAGCCTGCATGTCAGCTGACTTGCTTGAGCTCTTGCCAGATTTAGACTTAGCTTTGGCCTTTACCTTAGCCGCATCTTCCTGACCAGGAGATTTGCAACTGGGTTGCTTGATAGCAGCAGAAGCCTGTGGCTCAGTGTTGTCTGCCATGGTTAATCGAGAAGGGTTTCTGATGCGGCACTGGAACGATCTCGCTCTGCAAGAGACGTCAGTTACCCACTGTGATGGGACTGACTTGCACGTGGATCAGCGTGGTCCGGCCCACTGGCCAAGCAGGACTCACGCTGGGAGCGTCAAGGCGCTTGCCACCAGGGGAAGAGGCAAAGTTAATGTGTCCGTAATGTATAGTCCTGTGGCCCATGTGCTGACGAGATCTCATGTGTCTTACTTTAGTGGTGATGGTTAGGTCCTAGTGAGCAACCACTAGATGCAGACTGGCAGAAGGCTAAGGTGAAGGAGTGCTAAGTGGCAAAGGCCTACGCAAAATTGTCTGTGCAGTGGAGAATTGGTGCTGAGATAGTTGCCAAATATAGTTCAAGCAGGGAGTAGAAAAAGATCCTCTCAATTTAGGTTGAAATAAATTCTGAGTGAAATTGGAAGCTATCAACTATACATTGGTCTTATTTGTAAAGAGTGAGGCCCAGCTGCTGTGTGAGGTGAGCCACCACGAGCGGGAAGGGAGCAGTTGGTGAGGGAATCCAAAATAGAGCTTGCTGCTGCAAAGTGAGGAGAACTAGCTCTGACTGACCAATATGGCTAGTGACCGTTTGATGTGCTCTACAAGTCACGGACTAATCCTCCTCCAAGGTTCAAGCCTCAGGGGTAAGGATTGTCAATACAAGCAAAAGGGTCACCTCACGGTGCACCAAAATGGTGGCCACATAGCCAAGAATGGGAAAGGGGCAAACCTTGAAGCATTGGGGCTTGAGATGGCCAATCGCTGCTCCAAAAACTCTAGGAGACGCGCAGAGAACAGTCTCGCTCTCCTCCTAATTTAAATAGGTTGTACAGGAGAATTTAGCAATCCGCGCCAAACAGCTGAGGCGCAGCGGCCGCTATGCCTCCCGGCAGCTGCAGCAAGTCCGGAACCAAAAGTCACTGAAAACATCAATTCAGGTGAATGCTGGGGAGATTTTAACCCTTACGCTGAAACTAGGTTGTCTAGCTGTGGCCAAATGCTGTTAATGGTCCCTGAAGCAACTGATAGATTAACGGCCACCAAAATGACGGCCGCATCTCAAACCTACGGAGCTGACAGCTAAGGGAGGCTTCAGGGAACAGAAGCACCTGGAGGAGAGCCGAAGCTAAATAGCTTCTGGCTGTCCTGTCAAAAAGCAATCCCTAATGGATTCCTAAGACCCTGAAAAGTGTGGCAGAAGAACGTTCCCAGAATGGAAGCTGCAGCCCACTGTGGAGCTGACCATTAAAGGGGGGGGCTCAGGTAGCAGAAACTTAAGGATTTTAAGAGGAAAGTTGAACAGAAGCTGTGTGGCTTCTGTTTCTTTCCCCTAAAAGAAGAATCCACTAATGGGTTAGAACAGTGGTTCTCAACCTTTTTAATGCCGCAACCCCCAACTGGTCGTAAGTCAAGGACTACTCAACTGGTGCAGCACCGTTTGCAGAATGGGACTTTTGGCGGGCTCAGCAGGGCAGAGACAGCCTGGACAATTCCTACTGGCTTTTGAAAGCCAATAGAATTAGACTCTATTCAAGAGAGTCTATTCTATTGGCTTTCAAAAGCCAATAGAATAAAAGGGAGTAGCACAGCTAAAGAAAAAGGAAAAAATGGCGGACTGCATTGTTTGGAGACCTCCGTGAAATGGTCGTTTTACCTCAAATGGGGTCCCAACCCACGGGTTGAGAACCACTGGGTTAGAAGATAAAATATTTCCCTTGAATTAAACCTGTCAGAAGTCAGAATTTTTGGGAGTCAAACTTGTCACATCCTCATGGGCGAATAGACTAAGTTGAAACTGGGAGATACCAGACAAGGACAGGCATGACAACTTTGACAACTTAGTCTGATTGGGCAGGAGGACTGAAATAACCCATTGGTGGATTCTTCATCCATCATGCTGGAGAATATCTTATTTTTCTCTTTTCTGAAACTGTTCCACACAAATAGAAATCAATGGTGGATGAGAGAACTGTAAAAGAAATCAACCTAATCCATAATCACACATTCACAGCAAACCAAGGTAGAGGTTACTATGTTGTTTCCATGTTGTCTAAACATGTCCATTATTGGGTAGATGGCAGAAGAGACTCTAAGAATGAGATTTGTGGGAAAAGAACATTTTACTCAGAAAGTCTTTATCTCATGGCACACAGTACTTCTTTTTTGCCCGTTATGATTCAAAGAAACCATCTGAGTTTTTTTTATAATTTATTTATTATCAAATGTATACCTAAGTCATAATTCTGAGAATGATTAATAAGAAGAAGGTAACAAGAGGTTAATGTAGTCAGATCTCCAGGAAATTTTCCATTCTGCACAATGGGGGTTATATTTTTCCCTTTGAAACTAGGTATTTTTACATTGTAGTTGAAAGGTAATATTATATTAAGTGATACTTGTGTTACAATTACATTTCCAACAGATTATAAGTGAACAGCACTTACATGGAAAGTGCTCAGGAGAAAGATTAATAATGAGAAGACAACAGAAGTCTCACTGGGATGAGGGACACCACCACTGGAAGCTGAGTTCTTTTCTATAGTGTGTTGAATCCAGTCCATATAAGAAGTTACTCTGGTATAGATTCCGGGTCGGTTGGGTTCAGAACAACCTACTCCAAAGCTCACAATCCCAGCTAGAAACCACGTACCATTCACCTTGCAAGCCAGGGGTCCCCCAGAATCACCCTAAAAAAGAAAGAAAGGGATTAAATAGGAGCACTCTTCCAGTAAGTAATCTAAGGAAATAATGTGCATTTTGAGTTTAAATTTAAGCAGATGAGATGAATGCAGCCATTCACCAGTTCCTCTTAATGTTATTTAGCCAAGCCCTTTCCATTACTAAAAAGCGGGAAATAATAATGGTGATTTAAAAGTAAATGTGGAAACAATCTTGTGGGGAATCAATGTTATATCTTAAATGTCTTTGATATGGGTTTGAAGGCTAGCTAAGGATTTTGTCAACATGCTTAGAAGCCTTTGCCGCTCTGCTTTCAATAATTTATGACATCACTGGAGACATACTGGAGAAAATTTCCTTGCTGCTTTGTGGCACCATCTGCCTCAGAAGGACTATGCAAAACCAAAACTTTGGATAAATTTTTTTATGGGAGGAAATATGCTGCCATTAAGAATGTACTGCAAGAACAGTACATTCTTTAGACTAAGAAGCTATAGTTTGAAGTTAAGCTTCATCACATAACTTATCAAATTACTTTAGGGTATCATTATTCTAAGACATGTTATAAATATCAACAGGAAACAAAATGAAACAATTCTGCCATTATCTACTTAGAGGAAGAATGAAGTAAGGAAAAATGTTTTAAGGTGATAGTTTATTGTTAAAAAAAACTTTTGGAGGAAGAACTAGATTAGTCTCATTTTAAATGGGTAGCTACAAGAATATATGTGCAAAAATGTGTTATTGTCATTAAAATCCCCATAGTTTAGGAACTGAATAAATAAACAAAATTATTAAAAAAATATTGGGGGGAGGAGCAAGTAAAGACTTAATGACCTGCAAGCATGCTCACTGATCACACAACAATATAGACAAGAGAAAAAATGGACTGGTGGAATAGATCTAAACAAAAGCACATCTACAGCAATTTACTGCACTAATGTAGTGTTTCTTGTAAATACAGAAAATCTTTTGCTTCTTAATTATAATAAATTGCTATTTTCATGCTAACTTTTAACCAACTAAGGATCAACAATTAGCCAGTGTAAGCAGCCATTTTTTGATCAGAGGCTGTATTCAAGAAATAGCTCATTTCTGGGGCCTCACTGTAAGAAATAGGAGGCTTGGCAAAAAAAAAAATGGACAGTTCAGACTGAAATCAGTACCAGTTTTTTGGTTGTATTAAGTTGCTTGTTTCTATTTTCATGCCCAGCATTGCTGTTACTTAACAATCATTGCCAATTTTCAATCATAGTTACTCATATTACTGGTAAACCCTGACTTACAAACTGAAGACCTGTTTTCATTATGATCGCTATGATTTACGGTCAATATTAAGATTCCAGTGTTTTCTTTTTCCATCGTATATACATTGCTTGGAGAACTAGTTTGGTATAATGATCAAGCCAGAAATTGGGAGACCATGAGTTCTAGTTCTGCCTTGCGCAAAAAGCCAGGTGGGTAACCATGGGCCAGTCACTTAGCCCTAGGAAGGAGGTAATCGCAAGCCACTTTTGAAGAACCTTGCCAAGTAAACTTCAGGGACTAATAGGCAGTCTCCAAGAATTGGGCATTATTGAATGGAAGAAAATTAAAATTTGCTGGATTCAAACATTTCGGTCAGCATGGTTATATAATAAATTACAATGGCCTAGTTCCCAGAAAAAGCTATAACTCATGATAAACAAGCAAATTCTATATGTAATATCTGCTACAAGTCATAATTGGTCCATGGCTCTTATCCCCTATTTTTACCTGGCAAGAATCTTTCTTTCCTTCTGGATATCCAGCACAGATCATGTCATCATAGATTAGTCTATAGTCTTTTGGCAGAACTTCAGTATCTGTGTCAGAGCTGCTGGAGTCATTATGGTACATTTCATCACACTTATCAACATCTAGGATTGGCATTTCCAATTTCTGCAAAATCCGAGTGATGAAAGAGGCTGGTGCAAAAAAAAAAGGGGGGGGAGAGATTCTGACACTGAACATTGGCTCCTAAACGCTTAAGGGTGGAGTCTTCCTCCATGTATTTTTAAAGATCAAAGGGGTAAGTGGAAGTATCTGTGTGTTTTAATCTATGAGCCTCATTTTAAATCTCTCCCAACTCCTCCAGTCCATCTACCAAATGTTTGGGCTCCACACCCTTTGCAATAATGTCTTTGCACCAACAACTACATTCTTGATGCCAAGTGGCTGATTAAAAAACAAACAAATATTGCAACTGCAAAAACTATGGGTGTAATTAGCTCTGTTATGAGGACTGTAAGTCATGGGTTACATGTGCCACACAACTCATTTATTTCAGAGCCAGCCAAATCATGGCACCACAATTCACTGTCAAATCACTACTGCAAAAATAATATTTTACAGCAATAAGCAATAATATAAATTTGTTAACTCTCCATAAAGTTTCACGCAGCTTAATGCCTTCAAAACATTGGGGGGGGGAAATCCTCCACCCCCAATGGAGATCACATTCCTTATGCCTTGCAGAAGTCTAACATGAACTTGATTTAAGAAGACCCCACCTCTTTCTTACCATCTGGATAAAGGTCCCCCCAGCCAGTGACCCAGCATTTCATCCCTGCAGGGAAAGGTTCAGGATCTGCAACAGTGGATAAGCAGACAGGCAAGATGGTTCGGGAGAAATGGACAGGCTCCTCTAGTTTCACCAACGCAATATCAGCACTCAGCCCAACTCCAGCATAATATGGATGTACTACAATCAGGCTTATAGCAGATGAGACCATGGTGGGTGCTGGTTTGGGGAGTTCGTACTCCCCCAGATTCACTCGATACTTAGATGGAACTAGTGGCCTATGGGAACCAAGGGGGGGAAAAATCAGTCTTCTATAATCCTTGCTCAGCTTTGAAACTCAACAGGAAATCTGGGGCTCTCAAATGAAGGTGCTTCAGGCAATGTGTTTACCATGTAGTTGCTCTCTCTCGTTCATGGAGCATTATGGAGGGCATCATTTATATATTTATGCCATCAAATCAAATCTTTATTATGATTAATGAACATAAGGAGAGAGGGTTACAGTCTAAGTCAAAATTCAGATTTCTAAGATTGGCTCTTCAAGTCTCAAAATGTATCTCTAATGCCATCCTGAGACTAGAGATAGGCCTCATGAAAGTGGAGACTAGATGTGAGCAAATCTCATCCCTGGGCTTCTCCTCAGTCTTCTACTCAGTGTGGGATATAATCAGGCCAAAGCGCTCATTAAACAATGTGTGACAGAAACAGAGCAACAACTGGATTTAGCCCGGTCTCCAACCTTTTATAGTCAATGAATCCAACAGGCCTTCCCTATCGCATATTCAACTACCTCAAAGAGCCTAACTACCAGAGGCCATTACTTTGTCATGCGCTTCTCTCAGCTGTCTTTTGAGGCCGATATAGGAAGATTCCCTACTCAGAGAGACAATGCCCCTGTGACTCTGGACACACAGAAACAACAGAACATATATTTTAATATAGAGAGGAGAGAGGGAGGGAGGGAGGGAGGGAGGGAGGGAGGGAGGGAGGGAGAGAGAGATATATTTATACTGGCCTCATCTTACTGTTACAGGTAGTTCTTGATTTATCACTATAATGGAGCTTGCCCAGTCACATGACTGATCCAATTTTACAATCTTGTTGTGGTGTCATTAAGCAAATCACCATGATCCTTAAATGAATCTGCATTCATCAAACAAACGCCACAGTCATTAAGTCAATTTTTATGCTTTTTAATTGGCTATATGCCTCTCTCCTGGTTTTTGATCCTAATAAGTATTTGATTATATTCTTTTTATCTTCATATAGCTGCCCAATCCGCTACATAGCAGGGGAGGATCTAATGCTAATGCTGTCTTCATAAGGGCAAGATAAAGTTGGTCCACTGCCAAATTTTTGAACTTAATTGAATTGCTATTGTTCCCTAGTGCTATACAGTAACTCCGTCTTCAATTACTGATTCCCTTAAAGAAGAGAAACTGGCTGAGATACAATCTCTTTAATGCAAATCTGCTATTTACCCGTCAAAGCAATGAGCAGCTGTCACCACCCATTGGGAGGAAATGAGACTTCCACCACAGATGTGAAGTCTGTTTTCTCGTATGCTGGCCTGCCATGGCCATTCTCCATCTTCAGCATTCTTCCCACCAACAATTCGAGGGGAATGTATTTTGGGGCGCCCACAGACTATAAAAGAAAAAAGAGAGAAATGTGAGAAATAGATGAGAGCTGTAGGAAACTTTTGAGATCATATTATGCGTGATTCTACTGCTTTTCTATAACCAATACAGCCAACCTTGTGATAATTCAGCAAACATGTTGTTGTTGTTGTTGTTGTTGTTAATCATCGCACAGTCAGCCAGATGTTTAGACTAGATTTGGCATTTTTGTTTATTTATCAAGTCCTTACCAAAGACCTGGGATAGGCAGATCTGGATGGTGTTACAGATATCGCAGCAGGATGGAAGCTGTTCCTAGTAAGGTCACCTTTTGCAATTGACTGATAGCGAATTTTTCAAGGCCAAGGTATTCAAGTGGTGCTCCAGTTGTTTTGGGATTGCACCCAAGATGCCTATTACTATTGGTACTACCCTTGCTTGTCTTTGCCACAGTCATTCTATTTCTGTTTGTAGGTCTTTGCATTCTGATATCTTCTCCATTTCTTTCTCTTCTCTTCTGCTGTCTCCAGGCACTGCCATGTCCACTATCCAGATATTTTTGTCTTTTTTATCAACAATTGTTAAGTTTGGGGTGTTATGTAGCAGGTGCTTGTCTGTATTGTTGTTGTTGTTGTTGTTATGTGAAGCCACAAGCTATTTGGGTGAGTGAAAATAACATATTATAAGTTTCCTTCAAATTCTTAATTTTTTATCCATGATTGATAAATAGATGATATTTTTTCACTTTCTGTTTCAAAATATAGCTGGAACAGAAGATCTAATATTTAGATGCTAAGTGTTTTCACTTCAGTTCAATCCTAAAGCATATTCTAGGTAAAGTTGACTGACTGGCCTTATTCCTGATCATTTCACAGGCACATCCGGACAGTTTTCAGGGGTAAAAATATGCAAATGGATCACAACTGTCTTTTTGCTTTTTTTTCATCTTCCCAGTTCCTGACAGTTTTCCATCCAAATAATAAGCTGGTCCTATTCCACTTAGGTGGACACCCTACATATAGTAGTGAATTTGTAACCAGATGGTGGAAGCATGAAATGATTAGAATGAATCAACAAAATTGAAGGGTTGTGTTTAGTTAGATCATGTGATGGGGTAGTGTCAAGCACCAGGAAAAGCAGGAGATCCAAGCATTTCAAATGGGTGTAAAAATTTATTATGAGCTTGAGCTCTCTACAGGAATCTGAACTACTAAAGGTCAAGGGAAATTAGCGGGAGATAAGAGTAGAAGGAATTCAAGGTGGGGTGGACTTTGATCTCTTGTGGACACGAAGGGACTTATGATACATTTGACTCCTCCCTTGGGTTCAGCCTGGTTATCTCTTACAGATAGCAAGAGCGAAGGATACTTGTTAGGATGAAGAAAGATATCCCAGATATATAAATAAGAAAAATCATTACTAGGAAGGCATATGAGAATAGCAGTAGATTAATAAGCACATACAGTAATAAAAATATATTAAATATGTACCTGAATATGTTATCATTTATTGATAATCAGGAAAACCTTTGCTTGTAGGTACATAAGAAAAATAGGAGCTCTCCAAGTAATTTTATAATGATAGAATATCTGGGGCCTACACACAGCTAAAGCATATAAGGAACGGCTGCTGGAATTGGGTATGTCTAGTTTAATGAAGAGAAGGACAAGGGGAAACATGATATCAGTGTTCCAATATCTCAGGGGCTGCCACAAAGAAGAGGGAGTCAAGCTATTTTCCAAAGCACCAGAAGGCAGGACAAGAAGCAATGGGTGGAAACTAATCAAGGAGAGAAGCAACCTAGAACTAAAGAGAAACTTCCTGACAGTTAAAACAATTAACCAGTGGAACAACCTGCCTCCTGAAGCAATGAATGCTCTAACACTGGAAGTTTTTAAGAAGAGACTGGACAGCCATTTGTCCAAAATGGTATAGGGTTTCCTGCCTGAGCAGGAGGTTGGACTAGATGACCTCAAGGTCCCTTCCAACTTACTACTACTACTACTACTACTACTACTACTACTACTACTACTACTACTATTATTATTATTATTATTATTATTATTATTATTATTATCTTTTAAAAAATGGTTAGACCCCAATAGACAAACTAGTATCTCCTCCAGATACTTTAGACAACTCTTTTAATCACTTGCCATTCCATTAGTTGGGAATGAGTGAAAATATATTTAAAGGGTACCAAATTATCTATTGATGGTTAAAAACATTTTGTTTGCCTAGCCAGGTGTCATATATTTTCTACTTTAGATGTTGTTGACAACTGCCATATGTTTACAGAATAGAATGAGTCATAACTAATTACATTGAAACAAATTATATCTAATGCTAGATAGAAAGAAAGAAAGAATTGTAGAAAGAATGTGGGTAAATGGGTGTTCATCAAGCAACAATAAATAGATGGAGGCAGTAACTAAATTTTGCTAATTACAGTTCCTAATATTCCTAATTATCATAGCCAATTATAAGGGATGCTTGAATTTCTGTTGAAATTTCTACTGGAATTCAGCTATATTCATAGGTTCTATGCCATGCATAATTTACAAAAATGTAAACAATGGAATTAAATGAAGAGTAGTATTTATACAAGAGAGAAAGGGAAAAGATGTGTGTATATGTGTGTGTTACCTGCCTAGCTCTCAGGTATGTTTATTAATATGTACAAAAGTCCCATAAAATATACAGCATCCATGCACAACCTGCTTACAGAGGGTTTTTTCTCATCCATGTACAACTGATGTGCCCACATGGAAGTCTCCAGGCCCCACGCTACACTGCATTTGCAAGTATGTACATTTTTAATCTCTCTCTTTGTATATGTATACATGTTCTTCTGTCTCATGACTATCTCTGCACTATATTGAAGCATATGCATTCTATAAATGCTCATCTTGAAAATGAATAAGTTTTTGCACCAAGTGGGTCATCAAAGATGGTTGGAAAAAGGAGGCTCAAATATGTATGGATTTCCTACTAAACTAAAGAAAACTTTATAAACTTCCACACTCTTTCTAAAACTTATGATAAGAAGGAAATATTTTAAAAAGTGTAAATAGAGAAGTGTCCACATTCAAATTTATATATGTAAGGGTTTATTTATAAGTCTAAAAATTATTCCTTACGTTACATATTATGTTATTTGCTATGAATACATTACAAAGATAGATAGATAGATAGATAGATAGATAGATAGATAGATAGATAGATAGATAGATAGATAGATAGATAACCTTTATTGTCATTTTTTACTGTGGGCACAATGGCACACATTAAAAATGAAGTTTAGCTGCTTGCTCTCAAAGTGTACACATACATAACATACATTTAAACATACTATATACAAGATATGTATAGACCTACACCCTTACATATAAGCAGTGGTGAGATTCAAATATGTGAACATATTCTCTGTGTAGATGCTGCTTCTGGAAGTCCATTCTAGGCCTGGCAACAAAAAATTAGCTACCAATTCTGCCGAAGTAATGCAAACTGGCTGAATCCCACCACTGCATATAAGTAACATATAAATATTAATCACTGTCCATCTTGAATACATAATGGAAAGAGGAAGCTTTAGATATTAAATAGGATGCATAATGTATAATATATTAAAATAAATCATGGGTATAGTGGGTCTATAGTGCAACCATATCTAGCCTTTTCCTGAACCCACTGGGAAACTCACATTGCTGGAAGATCCTGGGTGTGTGTATGAGTGAATTATTGCTGATGAATACCAAGTAGAATATTAGTGACTGTAAAGAATGCAATGGATTGCATTTTTCATGGTGTCATGGAACAGGGAGTAAGAATGTGAAGTTACTGACAAGACCAGGGCAAGATGTACCATACATATGGATTCATAGTATAAAACCTGGGTATAAAGAAAAGACTGGAATGAACCCAGACTCCCAAAGTATGAGATGACTCTTGTTGGAGCAGGGCACATCCTGTTTCCCAGACCACTCTAACACAGCCTGATCACCTGTGTTGAGAGTGTATGTGAGTATTGTGTGAATGTGTAGCCTACTTGGGCAATAATACTTAACAGCAACTTGAGTAGTCTTGTTGGGCATAGTTAACCAAATAGCCTTGTTAGGCATAGTTCTTTGAATAGCCTTGTTGGGCATAGTTAACTGAATAGCCTTGTTGGGCATAGTTATTTGTATATAGCCTTGTTGGACACAATAACCTGAATAGCCTTGTTGGGCATAGTTCTTTGAATAGCCTTGTTGGGCATAGCTTATTCTAGTAAGATAACTTTGAAATTAGACAAATATATGTACAAATATATAGGAAATAATTAAGTTTAGTTACAGACTTGCTTTGCTTTTTGTCTGAATAACACAAGAATAAAACAACTATTGGAAAACTCTATTTTGAGAGGCTTGAACTCAATTTTATGACATTATCCCTTCTCTAGGCTTTCCCTTCCCCATTATTAGGGTTGACTATCCTTTGCTCAGGTGTGTTCTTACCTTTTTGAGCATCAGTGTTTTCCACACCTAAAAACACAATGAATAAAGTCAAAGTGATGAAATAAAAAACTATTACTATTAGAAGATAGAGATCAGGAGTTAGATTAGCAAAAAACACTGGGTCAATATTTTTACTTCCCAGAACACACTATCGACAACAGCAAGGTTGCTATTCTTGTGGGGGGGGGGAGAATTATAATCACTTTTATTATAAAACAGCTGAATAATAATTCTTTAGGACAGTGGTTCTCAACTTTTTCTTCATCACGGACCCCCCCTTAAATACCTTTTGTGGCCACAGACTATGGTCACAGGACCTTAAGACTTAACTCAAGATTTAAATCATAACATTTCTCCAAGCCTTCAGACCCCCTGTGACATTGTGGACCTTCAGAGGTTCGCAGACCACAAGTTGAGAACCACTGCTTTAGGAGCTATGGCAACCTGTCTAATAGTTAAACAGGACCATATGTGAAATGTTTAACTGGGTCAGTTAAAGGCCTAGTAGTCATAATTATACAACAAGATAAGCTTAGCTAGTGCTAACATTTGTTTGTTTTTTAGTGGCTTTGAGTTATGAAAACCCACATTTGGTTAGCTTGTTATGCAAAGCCAGAAAAGATGTTAAATCCATAAACAGATTAACCATCTTCTACGAGAGCTCTCTGCATGTGTAACCAGCTCATTTGTGACATATCACTATGTTGAGCTTTTCTTTTTTGTCAATGAACTCAATTTTTGATTAATTTACATTGTCACTTCTCCTCTTACCATTTCCTTTCTCAACAATATCTGTAGGTATTTCTAATCCATGCTACAAACCTTTTAGTTATTTTTGATCCAAAAGACTAACATGAAAGGAGATCAGATGGCATGGGTTTACATTGTTCTAACTCACCAAACAAGTTCTATCAAAAGCCTGCAAAGATTTTTCCCAAACCCAATTCCTAGGGATATGTAACTAAGTCTAGGCCTGAAATATGGCACATAAGGCCAATCTGGTAAAAGAGATGCTACTAAGAAAATTCCTTGGTCAGTAACTGCAATAGATCTTTCTCTGAAGACTGATAAGAAGCAAATCTGATCTCTCTAACGTATTGTTATAGAAATGGGAAGAGAACAATAACCCAAACCTCCTATGAACCCACATACACACAATCTATTACAGTCTAGCAATTGGTCAATTGCAAAATACATCAAAGTGATTAATTGTTATGTAATGGCTACAGGGAGACAAAATAAAACCCATCTGCATTCCAAGTGTAGATATCTAGATACATACACACATTCCTTACAAAGCTGGATTACTACCTGTATCTGACAATTAAAATATAGCAATTTTTTTTCCTTAACATATTTTTTAATCAGAAGGAAAGCAATACTTGCTAGATGTTTCAGCTTCTATGCTCCAGATTTCCCTGTTTTAATGCATTGCAAGAATCCAGGTTTCCCATTTTTCCCAGAAAGCAATGCTTCAAATGTCTCAAGTTTTAAAACTCATCCCACATCCCTTGCTATACCTCACCATTTTTTCAGATTTCTCCCAAATATTGTCATCTTTCTCTCCACCTGTTCAGAGAACCTACTGGTTTAGCATCTTTACTTTTCAATAGAGGATTTGGTGGCTCAAATGGAGCAGAGACTGTGTCTGCATTCCCCAACACTAATCTATACTAGTTTACACCCTCTCACACATTTACAGAGAGAGTGAGCACTTTCTGTCCTGGCTACCCACCTTTCAGCAACAGAAATAGAAGCACAATCTGGGAGCAACAGAGACACAGCATTGTCCAGGACTAGCAGCTTTCAGTCATCCAGCCTTTGTGCAGATCAGGTATAGAGGAACAGCACACTGGACTGTGATGCTCAAGTCAAGCACCTTTGCAGACTTTTGCAGAGGACCAAAGGAACAATCTCTTGAACGTTGCTCAATATCAAGCAGACTGCCAAAGAGACCTGAGCAGCTGAGTGTTGTCCTTCTCTCACTCCACCCCCAGCTCTTCAGTGGGGCAAGTTGAGCAACCTACTCACAGGCCGGAAATTAAGCTATCTTAACTACTCTATCTCCACCTCTGGGTGGGGTGAAATGGTATAAGTAATTTGAAGTAATATGAACAATTATAGCAGCCTGCTATTGAAGGTAAGATAAAAAGCTGTATCTCTTACAATTTCTACTTCAAGAATTAGTGTTATACTATTTTCAGGCACTATGGAGGATGCTGATAACAAAATTTTTAATTCCTGGAAGATGTAGTCTAGGTGTGCGTGGAACTTGCAAACTCAAAGATGAACAGGATCCAATCTGGATCAGTCACTGGGACCAGAGGTTTAATCTTCCGAGCTTTTAGACTCATGTTAGAGCCCATCCTCAGGGGACTTCTATCTCACCAGAAGGTGTGATACACGTGGGACACATATATTTGCCTTAATTTGTTAAAGATGAACAATCTATTCCTAGAAAACCTATCCCTTTTTAAGTTCAAGTCATAATGAGGCATGGTAACATGGCACTAACACCTAATTCAGATATCATACTAAGCAATAATTAGTTGGGACTGTATAATAAATAAGCTATCATTTATAGACCACAAAAACTGAGTTCACACAACCAAGTCAAAGTTCCATGAAATATTAAGCTTCTGGTATGTGTTACATGTGTTCCATGAAATATTAAGTTGCTGGTATATGGGCTAAGCTGGGCTAAAAGAAAATAACTTGTCTGAATTTACTTAGTTTTCTATGTTTTTCAGCCCTGTGAGGTAGGCCAGACCTGGAAATAAACACTACAAAAGCAGCTAAAGAGTATAACAGTGGTAGCGAACCTATGGCATGCATGCCAGAGGCAGCACTCAAAGCCCTCTCTGTGGACATGTGCACCATGCCCCGGAGACGGCAACCATCCCTTTTCAAGCAGACACTCGCTAACTCACTGAGATCCCACATGACCAGATGCATCCCAGCACAGCTGGTTTCCCTCCCCCCCATCCCGTCCCTCCTGGCCTTGCATGCTCTCCTTTTCCCAGGCACGACCCACTGCATTGCCTCCTCAGCTGTCAGCTGGCTGTCAAGCTCAGAGGCAGCTTCTCTGAACTGCTGGCACCAGGCTGTGAAGCTCCAGCGTGCGCCAGTCAAGGGGTCGGCTGCTGATGGACACCATCGGCCCCCATGTGCTCGCTGGCCTCTGTATGCAGGGGTCAATGGTGTCAGGCAGCAGTCACCCTGGCCCCTGCCTCGCCTTGCCCATAGCAATGGCACCCCCGCCCTGCCTCACCTCCCCTCACCTCAAGGACGAGCCTCCTGCCCATCATTCCACCCACCAGTGATCTCCTGGATCTCCCCCAACTCTGCCCGGACCTCACAGGAGTCCCTGCCCACGAGCAATATCAAGGTGACCATGCCCACCTTGGCCACACCCACCCATTCTGCCATAACCACCACAGCCATGCCCACCCAGTGGGTCATGCCCACTTGGCACCCGGTAATAAATAAGTGAGTTTGGGGTTGCAGTTTGGGCACTTGGTCTCTAAAAGTTTCGCCATCACTGGGGTATAACAAACAAATTTGCAAGCTTGACAAGAGATTCTGTCTCCCCTCTCTTACACCAATGAAACTCAAGACAAAACAAATCTTGAATTTCCTTCTTAACTCTTCCTCCTTTTCAGTTGATGTTATATAATGAATACCTTCTTTAATGCTATCGCTCAATATTACCATGCCAGAGGGTAGTTTTGAATTTCGGTCTCTTCAGTCTATTACCTGCACAAATGTTTTTCCAATTTGGCAACTTTGTGTGGATTTCAATCCCAGTATTCCCCAACCTATCTGTTATAGCAGTGGTTCTCAATCTTTTTAGACCGGTGACCCCGGTCATGAGCAGGTGGCGCGCATGTGCGGCGCCACCCCCTGCACAGCACGCATGCACGGCGCCGGCCCTGCACGCCACCCCCATGTGCCACCCCCTGCATGGCGCACATGCGCAGCGGCACCCCCTGCACGGCGCGCATGCGCAGCGGCATCCCCCTGCACCGGCTGAGAAAAAAAATGACGGATCACGTTGTTTGGCGACCCCCGTGAAATGGTCATTCAACCCCAAATGGGGTCGCGACCCACAGGTTGAGAACCGCTATGTTATAGGAATGTAGCTGAAGGTATCTTTGACCATGAATAGTTGTGTCCTCTTCTTCGTTAAATGTAGGGTAGCAGCTGGCTTGCATATCACAAATTATCCATAGCTTAAATCTCTCTGTAACTACCAACTCAGTAATGACCTTTACTAACCATTATTTTCTCAGCCTCAATTATTTCACTTCAACCTTTTTGTAATATAATATCCTATATGCCAGTGGTGGCGAACCTATGACATGGGTGCCAGAGACGGCACTCAGAGCCCTCTCTGTGGGCTCATGTGCCATCACCCCAGTCCTAGGCCTTCAGCTGGGTTTTATAAAACCTTTTCGCTTTAGGCCTCCATTGCCGTGTGCAAAAAAAAAAGGTTCAATCAGTCAATTTCAACTTCTCACGGGAAAAAAATGATCTTGCAAAGTTGGAATTGATTGATTGAACTTTTTAGTCCCACCCAGTCTGCCGTTACCACCACAGCCTCCCCCACCCAATGAGCCACGCCCAGCCAATGGGCCACACCCACCCGGCACTTGACGATGCATAAGTGGGTTTTGGGTTGCAGTTTGGGCACTCAGTCTCTAAAAGGTTCACCATCACTACTATATAGGCTTTGCTGTAAAAAAATTGGATAACCTATTGGAATGAGTCCTTATATTCTTTAAAATCAATTATTAGACTTATTATACTCTAGAACAGAAAACAGAAGTAAACTGAATTCAAGTTTACTGAATAGATTTCTCTTTATTACATACTTTATTAAAATATTACAGAAACATAAAATATGAATTAGGTAAGCAAACACAACTAAGAATCAAGGAACACACTCAAATGATCCTTTGAGTATCTTTTTATCCAGGAATGAGTTTTTGTTTTTGTTTTGAGAACTGAATTCATGGTCTTTTTCTAATGTAGAGATCATTTAGTTTTTCTCATAAACCCTCTTCAATTGCCAATTATTATTATTGTTGTTGTTGTTGTAAAAATCAATAAACCTCTGCTCAGAACTTGACCTGCAAACTACCTAGAATTTGAACCTTGGCTGCTAGTTTACAGTATTGTGGATAAAGCCAGATCAACCAATAAGCAGACTCCTTGCTATTACATTTTCAGGTTAATGAGTTGTCTCTAACTAAGGCAGTGTTTCTCAATCTTGACCATTTTAAGGCATGTGGACTTCAACTCCCAGAATTCCACAGCCAGCATTGCCTTAAAATGGTCAAGGTTGAGAAACACTGAACTAAGATCTGAAGGTAATTAGCTGGCTCCCAGTATTCTGGCTCTATAGCCCAGAAAATCTAACAATACCTGGTAAAGCAAAACTTTTATTTTCTTCCTTCAAGAAAATAAGAACTTCTACCTTAGGAGAAGGTAAATAAATATGCCCACAAATGGCATATTTATATATACTGCTCAAAAACATAAAGGGAACACAAACGTATAGGATCCTATACGTTTGTGTTCCCTTTATTTTTTTGAGCAGTATATATTATATGTTATCTAATAACATATATGTCAATCTTCACAGTTCACACCATAATCCATACCAGAAAACAATGGGTTTTTTTCTATACTATAATCCATAAAAAATAGTAACCTATTAACTACATACTATCTGCCCCTTTCTTCTTCTTACTTCCTCTGACTCTCAGTTATATTTCTAGACCTTGCTTAAATGACGACTTGAAGCTCAAGAGTTCACCAACAGTTCAATCAATTCAGGCCATTCATAACCACTATCTAATTATTATATATGTGGACATTTCCACCCATCCTTTACCAAAATTGTTTTTCTGTTTCTTTCACTTAAATCAACAGCACAGAGTTACTATGCATCATTACCTAAAAACTATGTTGAAATCACTGTTCCTCCAATGCAATGTAAATAAAAATTCAATTTCCATTCTGTTCCCTTCCTATCCTAGCTGACCTCCCAGGAGAACAACCAAAATCCAAAGCACTGGAAGAACAGGTTTCCCATGAATTGTGCTGCTAATTTGGAACATTAGCACCATGCCGACAGTGCATATTGAAAAGTCTGTGAGTCATATCAGCACACAGCCAAAAACTGTCAGCATACATTTTACAGAAAGACATTAACATCTGAGTTGGTTTATGTTCTTGAAACTATATCATTTTTGCAACACATGTAATATACTGTTTACATACATTTTCCGAAGTTGAAACTCAAATACTTTGGCCACCTAATGAGAAGGAAGGACTCACTGAGAAGGGCCTAATGTTGGGAAAGATTGAGGGCAATAGAAGAAGGGGACGACAGAGAATGAGATGGCTGGATGGAGTCACTGAAGCAGTAGGTGTGAACTTAAATGGACTCCAGAAGATGGTAGAGGACAGGAAGACCTGGAGGAACGTTGTCCATGGGGTCGCGATGGGTCAGACACGACTTCTCAATTAACAACAACAACAATACATTTTCTGTTCAATTTTATTTCAAGGAGTGATCTACTCATTTAGGAACATACAAACCCAGTGAGGTTGTAGTAAATGTTTAAGACTTGGCTCTGCCAGCATCATTGCTACTCTGTGTTGTATCACTAGCCATAGGCACAGAAGCTCAGTTCAGCTCTTCTACTGACTCACAAAATTCCAGAAAACTTAACAAATTTAACTCATAATCTGATGCAAACTGACACTGCACCCTCAACAATCTGCATTCTGCAATATCAAAAATCACTGGGCCCTGGCAGAATGGCCCATAAAACTATAAGAAGAGCCCTGCTGGATAAAACCATTAGTTCATCCAGCCTGTGTAAACACTTAGTAACCACTAATCCGGGCCTTGTAGAGATCTGTCTACTGCCATTTTAAAACCATTCAAATCAGCTGTCATTGCCACAATTATGACTAGCAAACTCCACAGTTTAATTACAGTACTGTAAGTGCTGTGTGAAAAAAATATTTTCTTTGTTCAGAAAGCATTTGATTTCAGCTAGATGACCCGTGACCCTCTGTGTCATCCTTTCAGGGATACTTCCTTACCTAAACAGAGAAACTGAATGAACACTGGGCAGGCAAAAAAGCAGTGGGGATAGGAGCAACTTTTGACTTCCTGCAGGTTTCCCCATTGACTTTGTTTATTGGAAGCTGGCAAGAACATCAGAAATCATGATCCCTTGAACTGTGGATCACCACAGTGATACTGCAGTAGCCACAACTTTGTGAATACAACTGAAATTTCAATTATATGGGAATGAGACCTGGATTTTGTACACATTTAAATTATAGGATATGAGATATCTTGATTCAGAAAATGTTTAAACTACAATTCACTGTTTGAGCTCAAAAGACAGGAGAGTTTTGATAGCAGATAGATTTCAGTTTGAAATTCCCAAAAAAATGTTAATCTTAATCTTGTGAGTTTTATTCTTTACTGGTACATAGTTGCCTTCTGAAACCAATGCTTCAATATCAAAAAGAGCTGATGTACTTTCTCATATGTGTACATTTTAAGTTCACAATCGTACCATGTTTTTATAATAGGGCTGAGAAGAAATTCTGCAGGGACTATACATATTCATGGGGTTATGATAAACCAGGGCTAGCCCAAAATGTTGTCACCTTAAAGACAAAATAGCATCTTCTTCCATTACAGATACAGAGCCTGATAAACTACTAGCTGAATCCTATTTTAGTGCTGGAGAAAGAGGATGCCCAAAACTCAAAAGAAAAGGATATATTCTAATTCAGCTATATTACAATTTTAAAAAGAAGAAAAGAGAAGAGGATGATCAGCAGCAAGATGGATGCACTTGATTAGAATGTCATTGGAAGATGTCAAGGTC